ATCCTCCGTTATCATGCTGGTAAGATTCCCTGCTTACATGTCCGAGCATTTGAAGTCTATAAGCTCAGTTAGTTCATCAAGAGTATGAATGTCCATCAGTGGAGAGGGTTTGTTCAGAAACTCTTTGTAGTAATGGACTGCCTCTGCTTTTATCAATTTCGGATCCAAAATTTCATCTCCCATTGCATTAACCAGTCTTCTTATCGCATTTTTCGACTTTCTAATCTGAGCCGCACGATGAAAAACAGTTGTGTTTTGGTCTCCATGTTTCAGCCATGTTATACGTGATTTTTGTCTGAAGAACTTCTCTTCCACGTCTGCATAATGTTTCCAATCGTTCATAGCAGCCGTCTCTGCTAAAAACGTCTCCGCACACGGGTTTGTTAGTGCTTGGTGCTGCCTTGCGCAAAGAACCTCAAACGCAATCTTTGTCCTGCGAGTAATATCCCCATATATTTCTCTATTGAGAGCTCTCAAGAGAGGTTTCAGATGTTTTAGTTTTTTTGTGTAGCCGATGAAGTGTTGATCGCGAGTGGAAAAGAGGCTCTGTACCAGCCCAATATTCAGAGACAACGTCCAGAAATTGGGGAAGTTCAGCTATGTAGTTAAAGAATTGAAAGTGCCTCCTCTTCTCAACATCCATATTCTCAATCTTAACCAAACTTCTTGTGTGATCGGAGATCCCATTTGCCTCAAACGTTGCACCAGGTAAATTGAGGTGCTACACCACCAATATCAAAGATTTCACAGTCTGCCACCACCTGCTGAAAATCTCTCATGCCAGCCTGATCCACTAACCTTTGAAGAACGTGAGAATGCTCATCAGAAGCTAATATCTCATTAAAGTCCCCTAAAACCACCCACGGGACTTCCCCAGCTCCAAACAATTCTTTGTTTTGTCTTAATTCGTCCTATAACATCCTTCTATCAGCCCTGAAATTTGAGGCATAAACACAAGAACATAGAAAAGTTTCTCCACGCACTGATTGTATCCCAACGGTGATAACTTGCGGACTCTTGTAAAGAACCGAAACTGAAACCTCATCCGACCAGATCACCCAAATCCTACCTAGTCGGTGATAATCATAGTTTGTAACATAATCCCAGCCGGAGAATACATCCTCCAAGATAGCCGAGCTATTTTCTTCCTGCACTCTCGTCTCCAATAAACAACCAAAGGAAGGTGTTGCACTATTTAGCCAAGATCGTACCGTATTTTGTTTGCGCATATCATTGAAGCCTCGGGTGTTCCACGCAAAAAACGATGTCATGATCATTAGTTCCTCCGTGAGGAGGACTTCTTGTTGGCTTTGTTTTGTTGGGACAGTTTCTGTTCTTGTCGGTTATGTTGTTGATTCCTTGGAGCTTGTTTCTTCTTCTTCTTTTCCTCAGCTTGCTGGTTTGTTTGTTTTGCAGAATTGCTTTGCTTGATTGGTATTTCCTCCTCCGAGGAAGAAGAGTCATCTTCCTGCTGTATATCGTTTGGTAGATCCACTGTTATTTCACCATCCTCCTTCTCATCATCTTCGTCCTCGTCGACTTGTGAGAGGATATTGAATCTGGAAGGAGAGACCGCGTTACCGTCAATAGTGTTCATCAACTGATTAAGGACCTCCTTGGTCTTTTCTGACTTCTGAGGAGAAGATTGTCCACTCCTTTGTACAGTGATCCATTTCTCTTCTGTATCCTCCTTCAGTATTTTTGTGTCATCCTCAGTCGCTTCTTTCTCTTTGTTTACCTCGACCTCTCCACTCCTATGTATGTCTTCCACATTTTTATTTTCCTTTTCTTTCTCCAGGATGACAACCGAGCCCATTTTCATTTTCTGGCATTCAGTTTCTTTATGTCCCCAAGTCTGACATGTTAGACATCTTGAAGGCAGCCACGGGTAATATACAGAAATCAATGTCTCTTGCTCGTCTTTTGGCATTATCTTGTCTGGAAGGTATATATTCATATATACCTTCCATGTAATCATAATCATAATCACTCTCACATCTCAACAAAAGAGAGAGCATAAGTAGTGAAAATGATTATGGCTACAAAGATTTATTCTTAAATGTTGTTTATTGATAAAATAATAAGTAGGTTATTAGTCTAGCAATATAAATAGACTTCCTTCACTTCCAATGGTGTTGCTCTGTTACGACGAAGCAGAAGTAGAAACAACCATTGTATCATCATTTTCGTCTAGATGGTATGCATGGGTGCCTTTAACATCCATTCCTGAGGAGAACGTTGCGGTGAATCATCCTGAGGGATTAACTCTGTGATAGTCGTATTGGAACCGAAGAACTTAGATCTGATTGAGAATAATTCGCGTATTGCTTCAGCCAATCTCATCCTATCCCTTGATACTCATATACTCAGTTTGTTACTTACACTGAATGTGACATGTCTTATGATCGAGACTTTAATACAATCACTGGATTTTCCACAGGTTTGGTTCATGGGAGAATTTTCACATATCTCAGTGGAATTTGATAATGTAAGTTTGCTTAGTAGTGTATACGAAATATATTTTGCATGGATGTTTAACATGTTGAATAATTGTCCCATTTCTTACTTTCAGGTTGTCTCTGTTGTTTTAGAAAATTATGGAGGCATCAGTCAATCTTCCACTGCTGCGGGAAATCAAGACAACAAGGTCGCTTCAATTGATAAAGAGCTCTCTCCCGCAGAAGCTGAAACAAGGATTGCTTCTTGGACAAAAATCGTTGACGACAGAGACAAGGCAATTGTATCTGTGTAAACCCTTCTACTCAAGCTTAAGTCGGCATGCTTGTTTTCTTTATAGAATATATATGTCCTGTTCTGTTTTACTGAGTAAAGATGGTGCAGGGAGGATGCTAAAACCCCAAGTTTTGGTCGAGGGTTTGTCTACATAATCTGGCAAAGTTAGCAAAAGAAGCAACAACTGTCCTCGAGTCACTATTCCGTTACTTTGATTTCTATGAAGTTTGGTCCACCGAGCACGGTCTTGCTCTATATGTTTTGCAAGATGTACAGTTGTTGATGGAACGATCCGGTTCGTATTGTTTCCATTTTGGTTGATTGGTTTTGGAATTGGTAATCAGCTTGTTACTAGACTACTAATAGTGTGAGTAATTGATGGCAGGGCAAAACACGCACTTCCTGTTGTCCATCCTGATCAAGCATCTTGATCACAAGAATGCAACTTGACATAGTTTATGTTGCTACTGCACTTGCCCAGCAGACTAAAGTTCTTCCATCTGTGGCAATCATTGGTGCCTTGAGTGATATGATTAGGCATCTGAGCAAGAGCGTCCACTGTTCACTAGATGATTCTAATCTGGGGAGTATAATATAAAATTCGAAGCTGCAGTTGAACAATGTCTCGTGCAATTATCCCAGAAGGTAACCCCTATTTACTCCATGAAGCTCTCTCTAAAAGCTATGTAATTTGAACTTGTATAAGATGAATAAATAGCTGATAGTTTCATGAAATGTAGGTAGGAGATGCAGGTCCTATTCTTGACATAATGGCTGTCACGTTGGAAAGCATGTTAAATATTACAGTCATGGCGAGAACACTAATTGCGGCTGTTTTCACAGGCTTTTCCAGAGGCACTTTTCCATCAGTTTCTTCAAGCTATGGTCTATGCTGACCACGAGTCGAGGATGGGGGTTCACCGTATATTTTCTGTTGTTCTGGTCCCATCTTCTGCTTTTCCAAGTTCAGTTCCAAAGCCTAGAAGACCTGCTGATATGCAGAGGACATTGTCAAGAACTGTGTCTGTATTTTCCTCTTCAGAAAACAGAATCTGGAGTCGGATAATGCTGTGGATGATACTGCAAAGATGGAGAGAGTTTCAGGTCAAAGTCAAAATTCTCAAGAGGTTATAGCATAAAGGAGCATCAACCTACCGAAAGTTTTGATGACGAGGATCCAAAGCAAAACACTAGTTCAGTATTGGCCGGTTAAAGTCAAGTTACAGTTGAACCCAGAGCGTGAAAAGGAACCCGTCATCAATGGTATCAGATCAGAATTCTTCGGAAGGTTCACCAGAGAAACCAGTATGTTTTCTTCACATTTTGGCATAACGGATGAATCTTCAGATTCCTGAGATTTGTCATTTTGTTATATTTGGTTTCAATGCTTTCTAACTGAAACTTTCCGGTGATACATTTAAGATTAAGCAGCTACCAGATTTGCCTTTTGCTTTCATCGATGCCACAAAATTATGAAGCCATTGCTAATACATTTAGCTTAGTGCTTCTATTTGGAGGACTAAGGTACAGTAGTAGAAAAGTTATACTATCAAGCTACACTGGACTCATATTATAGAATAGACATTTCTTATATTCTCATATTGTAACCTACCATGTTCAAGTACTGAAGCCTAAATAGCATTCCCATCTCTCGAGGGATGATACTACCAAAGGAGTTATCTGCAAGATTAAGTGATCTGAGAAACGAGAGATTACCGATGGAGGGTGAGATCACACCGGCCAATTTGAAACCACCAAGGTCCAAACTTATAACTCTTTCTTGTTTGCGGCCACATCTAACCCCAATCCAATTGCAGGGTGGGGAGGAGTTATTCCATGAGGCCAAGACCTCTCTCTTGTTTTCAGCAACTTGAGACTTGAACTCGAGCAATGCCTGCATCTCAATCTCATTTGTAGACCTAGCTTGAGAAAAGAACAAGCACGAAACTTCAAGTAACATGAGA